GAAAAAAAAAAAAAAAGTTGTAGGTTTTGTATTTTTATTTTTTTTTGATAAGGACAGTTGTAGGTTTTGTATGAAGAGAATGTGCCAGAAAAACAATATATAGAGACAACGATACTTAGGCATAAGTAGCAAAAGAGGAGAAACAGTACAATTAGAGAAGAAACAATTCAAGGATGCAAAGAGATCAAGGCTACAATATGACTACAAACGTACTGAAAGATAATATATAATCCAATGTGTACAACAGAAGAAAGCACTGTAATATTCTCGGGCTCATAGAAAGCAAGCAAAAAGTTCTATCAACTGGAAAATAAAACTGTGAAGCATACACTAATTCTTTTTACTCACATCTTCTTTTGTGTCACAGTAGGTGAAACAGTGAAGGTGTATCACAGATGAAAGCATTATAATTTTGTGGCAGTCGAGAATATTGTACTATTCCAATTATAACCGAGGCACGTATAGTAATTTCAATAATCTAACCATCATTTTAAGTCTCAACTAAAATAGAAACAATAATGTATTTTACTTATGAAATCAAACTCATACTAGAAGTCCAACTGTCACTTAAAATCTACCGCAACAAATTGAATTGTACATCAAAGTAGTCAAAGTACCACTAAAAGAACCCCTTCAACCATGTTGAGGATGCGTTCGACTTCACCACCAAAGTCAGAGTGCCCTGGAGTGTCAATTATGTTGATTTTTGTATCCTTGTAAGTAATTGACGTGTTTTTGCTAAGTATGGTTATTCCCCTTTCACGCTCTATATCATTGGAGTCCATTATCCTTTCCTGTACAAACTGGTTATCACGAAAAACCTGCAACAGAAAATTGCAATAAAATTAAGCTTCAATACTTTAGTTTAATGGCTTCAAAAGAGAAAAATCATCCAAAAAAAACATAACAATGATATCTAATTCTAAATTAAAATTTGGAAGTTCTATAGCCATTTTGAGAGGAAGAAGAAGCTGTAAGCATTTTTTTCATTAAAAAAAAAGTGTTTGTTTTCTTTACTGCTATTCTCTAAACCAGCAAAGACAGACAATACCAAAATAGCTAACAACTTACTTTAACTTCTTAAGCAAAATCTGTTACTACCAATGCACAGGAGCTTAATACCATTTCTTTCAGAGACATCAACTTTTCACACGCTAAACCTTTAATAGAATATCTATATGAAGAATGTTTGCATCATGACAATAAAGAAATTTTTTATGACCTGAAGATATATCTTGCGAATTTCAACAGTCTTGTATATCAAGTTGATTAAAGAGGAGGGCAGTCAACATTGTGATAAAGTAACTCTAAGAAATTTAGAACAATATTTTTTGGAAGAATTTTAACTTAAAAAACATGTTGGGTAATAAGGACAGGAAAGTTCCTTCAATTGCATAGCATTGACTTATACTAGCACGGATAAAAAGGTGCAAACAAGGTGCTATACAAGAACTCATTACCAACCTTTGCTTGTTTCAGCATAGAATCAACCAATGTGGTCTTCCCGTGATCAACATGTGCAACGATTGCTATATTCCGTATATCACTTCTCCTCATCAGTTGGCTCTTCTTCTCTAAGGCAGTACATGAAGTTAGACATTGAATCGTTAAGTACATGTACAACAACATTCATTTATAGTTCTTTTCTAATACCATCCTTTCCTTTCATTTATAAGCCTTCCCTCCCCCTATCCCCTACATTAGCATGTGAGCACTGCAGAATGTAAGCTTTGATTTATTTTTTCTTATTTCTTTTTCAAATGTCATTAGCATGCACCCCAAAGCTTTGGTCTAGCGGTAAGAGCACAGCGCATGATGTGTGGCTTAGGCGCAAGTCATGGTTTCAAACCCTGATATGGACAAAAAAGATAGAGGGGTAGGAACATTATCTACCAAGTTTCGAACCGTGTGGCATTGACCCTGGGATTTAAAATGCCATTAAAAGATGCCCCCAAGTTGCAACTACTATTTGAAAGTTTTACCTACTAGGGAAACCGCAATTCAAGCTAAATTCTCAATGAAAACTGCCAATTTTCTTTACTGAATTACAATTATAAGCTCATAAACGTTAATTATTGAAAACATTCAAGAAAGCAAGCATCAAAATGATAACGAAAAATTGAACCATAAATAAAAAGAATCAAGAAAACAAGAAATTCTTACCAGAAGGGGCTTCAGTAGCCTCAGAAACAGCGCATTTGATAGAAGTACGAAGTGGGTTTACTTTGAAAGGTACTTTAGCAGATAAACAAGAAGGCAAAGTACTACCAAAGAAGTGTTTTTTAAGGAAAGGAGTTGAAAGACAAGAAATTTTCTTGCTACAATTGCTAGAGTTGAGAATAGAGAAAGTTGGTGTTGTAGAAGAAGGTGAAGCAATTGACATCTCCATTTTTGGCTCTCTTCTGCTTCCTAACTCACTCACTTTCTCTCCGTTTTTGTGTGTTTTGGCACAGAAAGTGAGTAGAGGAGAGCAAACGAGAGAGTTGAGGATTGGGGTATTATATGTTGTAGAAGTGAGAGGCTAGTATTTAGGAGTGGCTGTTGTTTAGTTTGGTATTTGGATTACTTTTTCTATTTTGTTGAATAGTTTTGTGTATTTGTTTCTTTTTGTAATTCTATTAGTTTATCTCATGGAAAGTAAATTTGTGGTCCAAAAATGGTTTTGTTCCTTTCTCAAAAATGATTGTTTGCCACAAATATGATTGAAAAAGTTGCAAAAAACTATCTAGGTTTTAGGGAACTACGAGGCAATATCTTGCTCATCCGACATTGATATATTCGTTCAACTTGCACTTGATATATTCGTTCACTAATGCTTTGATACACGATGCATTAAGTGAAAGACATTAACTGAAGTCTTATTTTAAATGATATTTTTTTTACTTTATCAATTTTATTTCTCTTTTGAAATAAAACATGTTTTTCTTTATAAAAATTATATCTTAATATTTTTTATTTTTATTTTTAATGACATAATTTGCCCGGATTAACAACTCAGTATAATCACACTAGTGGGGTATGGGGAGGGTAGTGTGTACGCAGATCTTACCCCTACCCTGGGATAGAGAGGTTGTTTCCGATAGACCATCTGTTCTCTCCCTCCAAGAACTCTCCATCTTGCTCTTAGGGTGACTCGAACTCACCACCTCTTGGTTGGAAGTGAAGGTTGTTCATCACTAGAGCAACTCACTCTTGTCCGGATTCACTTGATATAAAAAGTTTATTCTTTTATAAAGAGTACAAAAATAAAAGATCCACGACAAACCCATTTAGAAGTATAATTTTGGTATTTTGCATATATTAGACTTACATGTCAATTATATTTTTAATTTTTTTCAAATTAGTGATCAGTCAAATACTTTCACATAAAATAATACTAGTGAAGCAATAAATAGGCACACACGAAAGTGTTCGATTGATTAATTAGAATGTCACGGCTTATTTAACGAGCAAGCTACTTGTATGTATTTTTATTTTTTTCTCTCTCTCTAGACATAAACATTGAACTCGAAAATTCATTTACACAGTTTGAATTTAATCAAAATGAAAATGTCAATAGTAAAATATCATTACAATGGAAGTGAAAATAAATGAAAACAGAATGCAATGACTGATAAAATTAGAACATAAAATCTGGACAAAGAATATTGTAAGAAACTTCAGTTGTGTCAATCTCAAACTCTCAACTCCACAAAGCAGTAGGACCAATATAAAAATCTTCAGAGAAAAGAGGGCATTGATCCTCCAAATATTGTGGAATGTCAGGAACCAAAGGGGGATTAAGTTCAAGTATTGCTGCAGCATAGGCATCCAACTCTTTATGGTAAGAAGCAATATCATTATTGGGACCTTCTTTTGCACAAACAGAGGCAGTTTCTTGATCCATTAATTTATCAAAAAAGGCCAATTCTTCTTCAGTTAAGGGCTCAAACGGTTCACTGAATGGTGGCAATGAAGTATATGTAGGTTCTACAGCTGCTGAACATTCTGCTTCTTCAGTAGAGATTAGAGGCAATTGGCTTAATGTAGCAGCACTTGTTTCTTCTGTGAGTAAACCAACTAAGCTGATGTACTCGTCGTTCCCATTCAAAAGATTAATGCTCAACTCAGAATCTTGGTTTTCTTGAAACTGGAACTGATCAACTGGGGAAGGAGCCCAAGAAATTATAGAAGCCTTTTCTTGATCTTGTGATAAACAAGAACTTGGGACATAATTAAGATGATTCAAATGACCTAGCATTAGCGGCTCATCGGACATGACATTGGCAACAGAATTCTCCCCACTAATGGCCAAAGGGACATTCTGAGAACTTGCACACAAATTAACAGTCTTCGTAATGCGACATAGAACATAGTCCTCATAACAAATTTGACGACGTTGTCTTAAAACTTTCACTATGGTGTCGTTAAGACTATATTCTTTCATACTCCAAACAATTCTTGAATCCGAACAATGATCATTAATATCATCAAAACGAAAACTTTTCTTGAAACCAATGACTGAACCTTTCTTGTCGAAAACAGGTTTACTCTTGTCGAGTACTTTCCATGAGCCGCCACCTCCTACAATTGACCTTCTGAAGTTCTTACAACGGGCTGATGTTTTCTTTAACTGCGTAAAGACATAATCATTAGTCGTCGTATCCAAGTGTTGGAATAATTGAGAAGGCTTATCGTTACCATACAATTCAACAAGTGGAATAGGATGACATCTCATAGGAATGCCACAAACGAACTTCAAAAGATGGCTCATTACATGTTCATCATTGTACGGCTCCATTCTGCATTCGCTTTTCATCATCTTCTGTTTAAACGAAAAGAACAGAACAAGTACTAAATGTGAAAAGAACAACAAGATACTAATGTGAAGTTAGACTTTAGATACTAACTAAAGAGAGAGCGTAAGAAAACTGTTGAAAGAGATCAGGACAAGACCTTGTTATATATAGAGAAAGCGTGGAAATAATTAGGAAACCAAGAAATCAAGAAACCTTAAAAAGTATTTCCTACTTCTATAAGGAAACAAATTAGAGAACTCATGGACCGAAGGTATTTCGGAATACGATATGGTACACTAAATATGGGGGGAAAGGAAAACTATCAAACAGTGTAAATAATTTTGACAAGTAATGTTATGCAAAATAATATATTTAATTTATAGTATAGAATGGTAACTGTAAATTGCTTCGTTAATTTTAATCAAGGATTTTGCAGGCTACTTAATAAAACTCCATTTAAATGACTCTATTTCAATTCTACGTAATCCAAAAAATTCGACATTATTCTACTTTTATACAATTCACATCATAACTTTGATATTTTAAATTATTCAATTTTAACCTTATATATGACATTTTTTCTATCAATTCAAGTTCTACCCATTATTTCAATATTTATTTTTGTTTTACAATGTTGCTAATGTAGTTAGGGACAAATCTACTCTGTCATTACAAAAATAGGTTAGATTTATCTTAACTAATAGTAAAAGCTTTCTAATACACGGGCATTTAATACAAGCGAATTCATAACTACTGCAGCGTAACCTAGTCAAATCCGTAACTATTGCAGCGTCAAGTTAATTCATAACTACAGCTTCGACCAAAATGTAGTTCGCATGGCCCCTTTTGTTGCTCAGTTCCCCAAAGAAGGGGATTCAGAACAATTCGAAATAATCCAAATTTTCTCCTAAACTTTAACTTGTCCGAGATGTCTTTACTCTTTAGTAATATACCATCCCAATTACTCTCTCCCTTTCAATTTATGTGAACTCATTTGACTGGAAACGAAATTTAAAAAAAAAAAAAAAAAAAAAATTT